ACCACAGGCTGGCGAGGGATCGCAGTGTTGTTCATGGCTTGGAGTTCCTGCACAAACCTCCCTCCTCAGCCATTGGGTTTTCTCACAGGTAGAACAGGGGTGTTGTGGGCGCTAGCGCAGGGGCCAGTGAGGCCCTGAGCCTCCAGCATTCTGTTTTCATCCTGACGCCCTGCAGAGTCTCTTTATTTGTAGGGTATCGGTTCGTTCTGGGGAGAGGCTTTGAGGGGTCTGCTTGGATCTTGATCTTCCGCTGGTATCGGCTGAGGGTTTTGCCCATAAGGGGGTGGTAGTTGATCCAGCAGGGGCCATGTGGTTGGTGGCCTTGGACTTAGCTGCAGGGCTGGCCAAGACGGAGAAAGAGAAGATGTGGAAGGATCGCTTGATCCACCTAGTTGGCTATTTGGATTGCTGCTGTCAAATTCTAGAATTATTTCCCCTTTCGGAGAAATTCCAGCATATTTCTCAAAGAAATTTGGGCCCAGTAAGGGAATAGGGGCTGAGGAACTAAGGAGAAAGGGTGGGTATCTCCTAGGGGGCCCAGGCAAGAGAGAAGAGGTTCACAGACAGGACCTTGTTGAGGTTTACTAGAGACCCCCACTATCTGAAGGGTTTTGGTACTCCGAGGCAGGGCTTCTGATGGGAGCCGGGTTGAGCACTCAGTGTAGCTCTTGTGTCAAGCAGGACAGAGAGAGACTCATTCCCAGTCTGCAGAGTGGTAGACAGGGAGGATGGGAAGAGCCCCTGCAGTTCCTCGGAGCCCCAGCACTGGGGGGTGGGAAGGACTGGCAGGGCCAGTTAGAGGGTCGAAGGTGGCTGGAGCTCTTCCGTGTCCAACAGTCTTTTTTCCAGTGGCCTGGCTTTTTTTTTTTTTTTTTAAAGATTTTATTTATTTATTTGAGAGAGAATGAGACAGAGAGAGCATGAGAGTGGGGAGGGTCAGAGGGAGAAGCAGACTCCCTGCTGAGCAGGGAGCCCAATGCGGGACTCGATCCCGGGACTCCAGGATCATGACCTGAGCTGAAGGCAGTCACCCAACCAACTGAGCCACCCAGGCGCCCCGTGGCCTGGCTTTTACAGTACTGTAAAAGATGAGGAGGGTTTTGGTTTTGTTTAGGGACCTCCATTTGTTGGAGTTGGAAATTATGGATCTTAGAGGTCTTGGTTTTAGTTGAATCATCTAGGGCACCAGCGAGCTGGCTTGCTACATAAACTAGATCTAGAGTGGACAAGTTTCCCATTCCATCCTGGTCCTTTTAACTAGAAGATCTGCCCAGTAATGAACTGGAAGAGCCACCCAATAACGAACACAGAGTTCAAGGCTACCTGGGTGGAATCGACATCCGGAGGAAGACCAAGCAATCTGTAGTGGATCGTAACAGTTATGAACAGGTTCACAGGTGTTTAGCGTGCAAGCCTGAATTTCGTGCCAACGAACAGGCTTAGGAAAAGCTTCAGTAATTGTTCTGGAAGTTTTCTAGTGAGTACCCAGGCTTCCTAGTCTGTTTCTCTAAATTCCTTCCAGGATCTTCCCACAGGGCCAGTTTCAGCTGACATTGGGCCTGACCCTCACCAACAAGCATGTGACCTGACTGACCTGCCTCTGAGTAACTACGTTAAGTGCCTCGGTGAGTCTGTAGGATCCTGAGTCCTAATTTAGCTTTAGCCCACCCGGGAACATAAGAAATTAAGGGTTTAGCACTTCAATCCTCAGAGGGCTTAACTTTAAAGGGGTAGGTTCTGACAGGAGCAGAGGAGAGAGTGGGAAGAGATTTGGCAGAAGAGGAAGTTCAGAGAGGACTGGAATAAAGGGGGCTGGGGTGGCCGTGGAGGCAGGCGTGGGCACGAGATGGCTGAGCACACCTGCAGACAAGGCAGCTGGGAGGAGAAACTGAAGCCATTCTGACTTCATTCGGTTGTCTTCTTCCTTGGTCAATTTATTTAGGAGATATTCCATTCACTTTGTTTAAATTTAGAGCCATGGTCTTCTAATTTGATTTTGAGAAAAGTAACTTTGGGGAGACCTGGAGTTCCCCTTAATGACTACCGAAGCTCTAAATTATCTTAAGTTTGCCCATTTAGTGAAAAATGTGCATGAGGAGGGATTATGGTTTTTAAACATAAAGCTGGCCGGGGTTCCAGAAGGAGGAGCCTCCTGACAAGACTTAGTGATTTAGATCCTGTACTTTCAGCTTAAAAGCTCAGAAAAACAAGTATGCATCAAAAGGACAAAGCCTTTCAACGGATGCGGAGGAAAGCTGGAGAGCTCACTATGCAGACAGCAGAGCCCGGATCCAGGGGACACCCGCCCTCAGACTCCGGGGCAGGGAGAGGCAGAGTGCCTGGTAGATCCCTTGCTCACCAGCCTCACAGGTTGTTGGGGGCTCTTCTCTGGATCCTGCATTTGACACCATGTAACGTCAACCTTGCCAATAAAACAGCCGGTCATTTCAGCAGAAGGATGGGTTTATTCTGGGACGGCAGAGGACTTGCGCGGCCGGATAGTCAGACTGTGGCAAAACCACAGGCAGGCAAGTCTGGAGACCAAACGAGAGGAGGGACAGGGTGACAGAGAAAAAGGAGGGAGTCGGGAGAGGCGGCTGGGAATGAATGTCCGTGGGGGGAAAGTGAGGATTCGGGGCGCTGCCGGTTTCTCACCGGCTGGCTGTTCTCGGAAGAAACTCCTGCTGCTGGTACAGGAGGCGTCTCCCGGTGGGATGGAGGACAGGCGGGTGAGGTGGGAGAGCTGCCCGGCCGGCTGCGGGCTCTGCGAACACAGCATCCTTTACTCCGGCTCACACTGCGCAGGCCCGGGCTGAGCGCGGGCGTGTGCGTCGGGGACTCGGAAGCTGGGGCACTAGCCCCACACGACCGGGAGCTCGGGCCGAGGGGGTGTCCTTCCGCGCGGGCACGGGGTCTGGCGTCCGCCGCTGCAAGGCCCGGCCCCTCTG